TCAAATTCTGCATTAAAAACACAAGAAACCATAAAGTCAAAAGAGAAATAAAAATCTGGGAATAAAGAGTTGCAGTTTGCATCATAGATAAAGGGCTATCTTCTTAAATACATAGATTTCTTTTAAAAAGTACCAACAACCAAATAGAAAATAAATAGGGGCAAAGGATAAAAGCAATTACTAAAAAAGGAAATACAAGTGATCCTTACTTAAAATACAAAAAGATTAATAACCTTACTTAAGAGAAAGGCAGTTAAACTCATGATCAGATGCCATTTTTCATCTATCAAACTAGAAATATAAATGATGAGCGTATGGGAAAACAGGTAATCTCATACATTATATTAAAAACGTAAATTGGTACAACTTCTACAGAGTATAAATTGTATTATTGGTTAAAATTAAATGTAATCATTTTATTTGATTCTGCAAAGGAAATTTTTCACACACACACATGCAGTGTGGCTCCTTTTCTTCAGTATACATATACATTGTCATGTAAACTACAGTAGCAATCTTGTAATTACAGAGACAAAATGATGTCCAAAGAAACGCAATGAGCATGGCAGAGTGAAGCAGTGGAAAGCATTTAGGTCTTCAACTAAGCTACTGATCATACCCTACCAAGAGTTGCCTTACATCTGGACTTCTATGAGATAATCAGCTTTTCTATTAAGTACTATTTGAATTGGGGTTTCTGTTATTTACAGCTGTATGTACTCTAAGTATACATATGATACATGTATATTTAGAGACACATATATATTTAATTTTGAATATACTATTTGCTAAATCAATTATAACCATTTTTGTATATTTAGAATGTATGCATTTCCAATCTTAAAAATAATAACTCTAGTTTTAAATAAATGTTTATGTTTTTGGAGGGAGGATAAAATTTTAGAAGTGAAATCACCATTAGAACTTCTAAGGATCTTGTTACTGTTAAAATAACAACTTTTGAAAAATAAAACAAGTTTATTTAAACAAAGAACAATTTGTCAGTCAGACGCCCCTCAGAACCAGAGCGTAGCAGAGGTTGAGAGAGCTCTCCTATGCAATGTAGACAGGCAGCATTTATAGACGGAAAATGAACATGAAGTATAGAAACAGCTTGGTTGGTTAGAGATCTATGTTTGCCTTATTTGGCCATGGTTTGGTCAGTTGGCTGCCCGAGACTGGATGAAGCTCAGCTGCTGTGATTGGCTGACACCCAGCTATTTGTTATAAAATATACCCCTAAGTCAGGCTTTCATTTTGTTTACTTAATAAGTTAGATTGCCCTCCAGTTACATAGGGAGGTATGGAGATGGCCTCAGGCCAAATTTAGTTTACTGTTAAAAATTGAAAGGCACTAGTGGGTCAGGGCCTTTTTATAGCTAATGTACATTGTAGAGTGTTTATTTCTGATTACCTTTACTAATAACACTAGATATTAACATAAAATTTAGTGCCATTGTAGGTGAAGGGATATCATTTTGTTACCTTTTTATCATTAGTGAGAATTAATAACATGATTTATTAAGAAGTTACATTTTTCCAGGATTCCACTTGTCAGATCAGAAGCAGAAAAAAAAGGTAGCAAGTGCAAGGGTCTAGGCTCAGATCTCAAATATAAAGAGTTAGTAAATAGAGCCAGCCAGTCAGAACCTGTTTCTATATCTTTTCACATAAAGATCTCATGAGCCAGTGACGGGAAAGAATTTGTTGAAAAGAGAGAGGCTTCAGACATTGGTATTTTTGTGTTACCCTACCTCATGAGTTGAACTGTATGTAATGAATTAGAGATATTATACCCATCCTAGAAGTTCAAACAGTTGAGAATAGGGGGAGATGGATATTGTACCTCATTTTCTGTGTGAAGTCCGTGGAGAGGACCTTTATTAGAGTGGTTCCCAGTGATGTTACATCTACAAAGTAGAAATAGTGATATAGCATGAGGAGCCTTCAAGTAAAAGCTGGTCAATTTTGTAAGAAATCAAAAGTTACAATTTTTCATGCCTGAGTTAATGAGTGAAAAATTGTACCTCTACATTTGTATTTCTTATATTATGTATATACCCATCTTAGTCATTTATTAGTCATGCACCTCTCTGAGCCTCAACTTCCTTATTTCCAAAATGGAGATAATAATTCCCATATAATGTGATTTTCTTCTGTAAGTACATACTCATGGGTCTAGTCCAATATCCCATAAGTAATTTATTCTTTACCACACTGAAGATGATATATGAGAGCCAAACACACTAACCAGGTAATGTACTAGATAAAGCTATGTCAATATATACATGGCCAAATTCCAGTCACTGTGACAATTGCTGCCTTGAGATGACACTGCTGTCTTTGACCAGGATGAGGAATCTTTGGTCAAACATCTGTCTGGTCAAACATCTTTCTGGTCAAGCTGGATAGGGCTCACTATTCATGGTCCACATACTTCTCTCAGCAAAGGAAGGAGTTCTGCTGGCCCTGCAGTTGCAGAGCTATTTCTCCCATAAGAGGCTTGGTACAATTTGTTTCAGTCATAGGTATGCACCCTGGCCGATGAGAAGATAGGAATGTATCTGGGTTTGCACCAGTCCTACGCAACTTCGGTGGAATTCTGTCTGACTGGTGCTCTAAGGAATTTAAGTTCACTGTAAGACACAGGTCCTGGTAGATTCTAGACTTTGGGACAATTTTACTGGCTTACAAGGCATATCTACAAGTAGAGGGGAGTATACTCATCTGCTTTTCTTTACTATAATTTTATCCCATGGCACTGGCCTCATTCAGAGCCCAAGATGACCTGATGTTCCTCAGTAGAATTCTTCACTTAGGGTGGTGCAGGCAGCCATATAATTCACTGCATTACTTGAGTTGCCTGCAAAGTATGAAGTTTTTCAGGAAGATATTGAAGCTTGAAGCCTAGTGGTTGCCTCAGGGACCAGTCACTTGTTTCCATGTAACAATTTTCATTAAAATTTTGATTGTGTCCAGTAAACCAGTGTTTTATGCTTGTCACCTTCAGAATTCTATCTCAGCATTATCAGGATCTCATGACAACATGTAGGCATACTTTCTTGTATGGACATGTTTTGTTTTTGGCTGGTTGAGAGGTAATGCCAAGTTTCTGAGTTCCATGGGAATACAGCCAAGAGACATGTGGCTTCTTAGAGTTAGTGTCCATGGGAGCGGATCTGAGAAAATCTCATGGATGATCTATGGCCTGAACCGCATAATCAAATTTTGTGCTGAATAGTGTCCTTTGTAAGATGTTAGAGAAAAAAAAATCCGTAACACTCGTAGAAAAAGGTTTCTTAATAGAGTAATCTTGAATGGTTAGGAAAACAAATTAAAGGGGTGAATTGGTGATTTAGTCTTTCTACATTTTAATTTAAAGTGATCATTAAGATAAATGGACTCCAATATAGTTGTTAGCTCTTCTCAGGAGACATTTTCAATAGGTCTCATTAGGATCAGAATCTGGTATTATGTTTTACATTTCTATAAATTAATTCTAGTGGATAATAGTTTGCCTGTAATGCATATACATAGAACTAATAAAATACCATTTTATTAAAGTTGATTTTTAGGAAAGTATATGTGTGTGCTTATTCAAAACATCAGCTTTATTATGAAGCAGAAACAATAGCATAATACCGTTAAAAACTTTTCTTTCTTACAGTAATCCAAAAGTGGAATCAATGAAAATGAAGCATGTGTGTCTTGCATCATTGTCAAACTGTACAGTTCCATATCAGGAATACTTAATGTAACATTAAACCTGATATAAGCTAGTTAACCTTTATAAGTTATCTTATTAAGTAGTTGTCTGTCATTATTATATATACATTTTATGCCTGTCATGTAAATTGGGCAGGCTTATATGTAAAATCTTACATTCAAGAACATCTTGTGTTCTTGACAGGATGTGATACTATTGAAGTATTTTGATATGTAATCTAGAAAAATATATTTAAATACTCCTTCTGTCTACTGTTTTGAATGGCAACCAAGATTAACTTACTCTACTCATTTTCATAATATATTTTCCAAAGTCTTCCTCTGCAAAATGCCACTGAGGTATCAATGAACTAAATTTAATACCATTTTTCATTGCTTGACATCTCACTCAGGGATGGCCAAAATAGTATAGTTTGCTTTGATATGTTTTGTAGTGTGTAAACTGGAACTAAATGATCATGCAAGTGAAATTTCAACACTCAATTTTATATGCCAGGCAAGTCATGACTTGCTTATCATTGCCTATAGTTTCATTTCTTAGTTATATTATTGGTAGTATGCATATGTTTTATTTTTAAAACTGCTCATTTGATATTTGAAATGGATTTTATTATAGTTTAATCTATATTTGAATTTGAATTTAGGTTTCTATTTTGTATATAACTAATATACAAATATAAATTATTGAAATATTTATATTAATTATAAACTAGCTATGTTAACACATAGAATTTTAATTATCTTCCCTATTAAACTTAGTCACTGCTTTATAACTAAGTTACTAAACTAATGGAGGGTGGAGAGGAGGGATCACTTCAAAATTATTTATATATGTTACTGCAATTAAGGATTTCTAGGTACTTTACAACTGTTTTGCAATTCAATTTGAAAATTGGTGAATTTTAGTGAAAACTGGTAGAAGTTGAGATACCAGTATCATTAAGTGGTAAGAAAAGATGTAGCTTTCTTGTATCTCTGTGGCTTCAGTAGAACTATATACCTTTGACAACTGCAGTGCATTTGGAAATTGAACCTATGAAAACATATAAATAGTTTTCAGGTCAAGATAAAGAGAAATGAAACAGATATAACTAGCCCTTGCTTTCATATGTATAAAGCAACTTGACCAGGACCAATTTAATAGGAATTTAACTCCTGAGAACCAGAGTAGCAGACTTAAAATTCCTCAATCAAACTTTTGTGCTAAACCATTAGACTTCATAATAAAGTGAAAATCAGAAATCCAGAATTAATCATTATAATAAAAACTGTTGTGTCTTTCAGAAAATGTGAAAACAGTTTAATATAACTTATATTGTTTCTACACATTAGATATAAGAAATAATTTCATTTAATCATAGTACAATAAATTTGATTAACATTATCAAATTATAAAAGTAACAGTTATTGTTGAGATAGCATCAACTTATTATTCTTCATTTCAGATAATAGAGTCAATTATTTTGATATGCTTAGTAATGTTTGCAAGTATTAATATAACGAAATACTGAGATTTGAACACAATGACAGTAAACCATTGAAATTTCAAATTCACATTATACAGCCATCATGAATCCATAAGTGAATGTTAATAATGTAACAAAATATAAAATGATTGTAATTTAACCGTCTAATCATTAACATCTGGAGTTTTAAGACCACTATTTAATCTGCTAATTTGATCTGAAATATAAGTAGTTGCTTTTATGTGATGCATGACGTCTTTGTGCCTTAATACTTAATTTGAAATGTCCTTAGTCTAAAAATTACCAAAGCAAATAAAAAAGGAGATGCTTATTTACAAAACAATGTTGAATATATATTATATAAATGCATTGTTTGAGTCTTTTTATGCAGTATTGATAGAGTCAATCATTTCTATCATTTTGCCATAAAAACTGCAGTGTTGTAAAGACAGTGTTGTAATTTTCCAAAGACAAAATTACATTGTTCTCCAAGTATGTTATTTTGAAATTTTGATAAAAACAAATACTATTTGACTGCCTTTTAAGATAATGCACTTTCTCTAAGCATGCTACAGAATTGAAAGCTAACCTCTAGAAAAATGATTCTTCTTACCTTAAAGAAAATCCATTTCTCATTTGGAGGTGTATGAAAATGCACCCAAAGAAAAGAGAAACTTACTATTTTACTGAATTTTTTTATTTGATAAACCTGGTAACTTCAGTCACTCAGCCTATTGTATTAGCACCATTGGCATGGATTGTTAACCTGTGTCAATTATAGTAGGAATGGAAACTTGCATATATGGCACCATCCCTATTTTTGTGGAATTTTATCTTACCAAGTATGCTATCATGTAATATAAATTCAAGTGTTTAAGGATGATTCAAATGATAGTATATAGCAATCCTGCATTTTACCAAAACTGTAGGTAGATTTTTCTGTAAATATTAATCAAAATTGTAAAGAAGTAGACTTTAAAGCATACTCCTTTAATTCATCAGAATGCAAGGAGAATTGCTTTCATTTCCTCACCCATGTTGTAATATATAGGATCATAAATGTAATTTGATCTCCTTCTAGCTCAAAAACTCTGGAAATCATAAAACTTTTTATTGCATGATTTGTTTGGATGGTTAAATGCCAACCATTGTATCTATTCCCCCTTTAGTTTATATACTGTAGCTTATGCTTAAGTGACTGTAGCATACTCTAGGCCTGTGGTACTTAATTTCACAGCTTCAAAATTGTTGAGGGGAAATCTTCCATATTTTAGGAAGTTATGAACTTAATATAAATCTCATGAGCACCCGCAGCGGTCTACTACCATGGCTGGAATTTTCCCATATATTATTTGTTCTTTGCCATTAAAATATAGCATATTAATTGGAGACATCTTTGTGGGAGTACAGCAAGGGCCTGCTGAACCTTTGGGGTTTGCTTGGTGTACCAGATGAGTATGAGGATATTTTTGTAAAAATACAAAATCACACTCTCCAGAGCAGTAATTGGCCTTATATCTTTTAGGAGCGATAATCCAATCCCATCCAAAAGCTTCAAAATCCACAGTAAGAGGGTAACGACAGCATCGGGTTTCTGTTGAGAGATCATCACAGTCAAGACCAAAATCCCTTCTGGATCTTTTTGGTGTGTCTGTTACCTTGACCTCTAAAAAGGGATTCTGTAAGAAAAGGAAAGAACACTCAGTAATATCAATAGACCTGGAAACACTTTTCTACCTACCTTAAGAAATCATTATTAAAGAAATAAACTAATAATTTTGCTCATACCACATTTATTTTTAAAAGGCACAGCATTAAGGAATGTTAATTTACACTAGGCTCAATTTTCCCTTATGTCTCAAAAGAATTTAACAGCAATACAAATTCCCCTAAGGTCAGTTCCATGTCTTTTTAATTTTTATTTTTCCAAGTTTGAGTACCAGACTGCCTGGCATATAATGGATGCCCTGAAAATACTTAAGGGAAGAAAGGGAGGGAAGAAGGAAAGGAGGGAAGAAAAGAAGGAGAAATGGGGAATGAAGGAAAGAGCTGAGCTCCCTCCTTCTTGCTTCATGATTAAATATGTTCACTGAATATGCCTGGCAACTCCTGGGGGGATAGGTATAGCCATCCAGCCTCCATTCTCTAGGTCCTCACTCAGGGAAACTTGAACAATAAAGCCAGGGCAAAATAGAGAAGGACAAATTCAGAAGAAGAGATGATGATATTTCCTGTATTCTTTCACTGGAAAATGTTCCTATTCAGATATTTAAAAATGGTTAGTACTGTCTCTGCCCCAATCTTTTAATGTGACTTTTAATGAGACTTTGTTTCCCTTTACATGAAAAAATCTGAGGAATACATCATATTAACCACTTGTCATATTATCAGTTTTGAGCATTAAAATGCTACCTACAAAAAGGAACACTTTCTTAAATAATTGACAGTAGTTTTTAACCCATATCTAAATGAAAATAGCTCTGGTAGTTATTGTTAAGACTATCAAAAATAATGATATCATTTTGGGAGTCATTAACATTTAGCATAGCATATATAAAGAAAACTACATCATTTAGAAAATCGTATAGTCTTTTAGACACCTACACACATGTTTATTGCAGCACAATTCACAGTTGTAAAGATATGAAATCAGCCTAAGTGCCCATCAGCAGATGAATGGATAAAGAAAATGGGGTATATATACACCATGGATTACTACTTAACCATAAAAAAGAATGAATGAAGTAATATATTTTGCAGCAAATTGTATGGCGCTGAAGAGCATTATTCTAAGGGAATGGAAAACCAAATTCCATATGTTCTCATTTTTAAGTGGGAGTTAGCTATGGATATGCAAAGACATACAGAGTAGTACAAGGTATTTTGGAGACTCAGAAGTGGGGAGGGTGGGGGTATGAGGCATTAAAAACTACATGTTAGTGCAATATACACTACTTGGAGTGATGGGTGTGCCAAAATCTCAGACTTCACCACTATACAATTCATCTATGTAACCAGAAGCCACTTGTACCCCAAAAACTATTGAAGTAAAACATATGTGTGTGTGTGTGTGTGTGTGTGTATATACACACACATATATATATATACACACACAATAAAAAAGTAAATAATAAAAATGAAAAAAAATTTTATAATATTTTAAAGAATGTTTTTATTTAAAGTAGATCTGATCTGCTAATTATATAATCTTTATAACCAAGATCATTTAAAGATTAAAAAGGTAACATGTTTGTTGTTTACAAGTATAATCTTCTTTTGTAAATTATGTCAATAGATGAACATAAAAAGATGTGATCACATTAAGTGTTTGAAAATAGAAGTAAACAGAAACATAGGTTAGCCAGAAATGTAACTCTAAATTTGTACTAGGTATTAAAATGTTTTTATTAATTTTTGTAATATTTAAGGTATTGTCATTTACTTGGTCTGATACTAAATTAGTTGGCTTTCCCTAAGTAAATTCTTGCACAAGAATGCTAAGGCAGCTCAGAAATATGACACATGCATACCTATGTAACAAACCTGCATGATCTGCACATATACCCCTGAACATAAAGTATAATAATAATAATAATAATAAAAAGAAGCTAGGTGGCAAAGGTTAACTAGTCTGTAAGTTGAAATTTTATTAGGAGTATTCCACAAAGAAATATATGCACACATCAGGGCACTGACATCCTACAAATATTGAACATGTTTATTATGAGGAATCTTAAATATATTTAATAAAATATAAATATCACTATAAATATAAATATCACTCAATTAATTTCTCATAATAAAACATTTTTTCGTTATAATTTTAGAAGTTTATCTGTTTTATGCTAGGCGAAAAATTTTTAACACATTTGGCACCCTTCTGGAAGAAAAAAAATGTTTTAATTTGTTTATGTACTAAAATCCACTATATAAATATTTTAATTCACACAATCATGTATCATATTAAAGGAAAGCATTTTATATTTCATTCCCAGTTCAAAAGAACTTCTTAAGAAGTTAAGTATGGTATAATTTTATTCTAAAATCTTCATGCAAAGTAAGAGTATCAAGGGAGTGTTTCATAGGATATAAAATTGGACATCTACTTTTATTGGGTGCAGGGCTACCACTAGGGTAAGTTACCTTTGTCTGACTTATGAGCTTAGGAAATTTGTAGCTGTTTTCCACTATTGCTCATTCATATTATGAATAAAAACATAAGGTTGTTAGAATGCTATTTTCAGTTATCACTTACCAGCCCATTTTCTTTTGATTCTGGGAAGGTTACAGCAAGATCATGACCATTATCATCTAAAGCTTTTATTTCAATGCCTAAGTTGGATTCAGGTTGTTTGAGCCAATTTTGCAACACTGTCTTCACATCAATGCTCTGCCAAATACCAGTGCCTGGGTTCATGTCAAGTTTCAGAGATCGGATTCCAGTATACCTTGTACCATCTTTCATGGGTTTGATGAGTCTCAGGATTTGCACAAACACTGTTGTAGGAGTCTTGACGGGTTTCAAATATATCCATAATTGGGCCTTTACTACTTTATTATATTGTATTTTAGAGCTAAATTTAAAGAAGCAACACTTGGGTTTCCCATCCGCTTGTGTTAGAAAATCAGCTATAAATGAATAAGAAAAGAAGAATTACTGAAATTATTGCCCATTAAATGGTGAACAAAACCCCTCCATGTTAATAGTTGAGCATTTAAAAAAAATTAAGATCATGTATGCCTATTCAGTCTTTTAAAATGAAATACCATGTGGAACTTTATACCTCAGAAAAAAATGTCAAAGAAAATAATTACTCCTAGCTTTTCAGAATTTTTCAGATATATGTATTTTCAGCTGTTCTTCAGGAATCTATTCCCCTTCCAGAGAACTATGGACAAAGGAAGATTCTATGAAGTAATGAACACTGAATGAAATTTTAAAATGATGATGATTAGAGAGAACAAGAGACACTGTGGAGGAACAACCACTTAGAATTCTTTGGGAATCTGAGTAGTTACACTTACTGAGCAGCTGTACCAATCAGTCTGGAAGAAGGAACCCTTCCCCCAGGCCTGAATTACCTGGGGACAAGACATACTGAGCAACTTTACTGAGCCTCGGGAATTAGTAGAAAACACAGTATATCTGTTACATGTTGGCTTTGGAATAGCCTTTTAAAGAAGCAAAATCAAGCAGGTAATTAGCACAAAAATTTTGATGTTATATTCAGGCTATCTCAAAGGCTCAAAAGTATTGTCTCAGGGGCAGGCTGTTCATGTAAGCACAAGCACTAACAATTTCTTTTATTTTGGTTTTCCAAAATTGTCTATAAAAGGTAAATCTACTTCAGAACTATTTGATAGCAGAGTCTTAAATGAAAATTCTTTGCTGCATTGTAACCAGATTACTTATAAGGAAAATATTTTAAAACTGTTTTGAGTCTTGTTTAAAGTATATAAAGCATTGCGTGAAAGCAAGATAACAGATGACGTAACACAAATTTTTTCTTGCCATGCCTTCTCTGTCAAGGTGCCTGTTTCTCTTTCCTGGAGAAAGTATTCTTTTGAGCTGATATAAAATGAATTGTATGAAATATGTTATCCCTGAGAAGCAATGTAGATACTACAGGTAAAAGCCCTTCCTCTCAGGAAGAATAAAATATTACAGAAGGTAATTAAGCACTGTGCCTGCTTGGAAGTACACAAAGTGGTTACTGTCAACAACAGTACCATGGTCAAGGTACAAGGAGGACTTCGTGAGCCATAACCTACCCAATTAAAATGTTTATTTCTTAGGCATTTTCTGATATTTAGTTCATGATGATTATTATGCTATGTTTACTTCATTATTGCTCTTACTAATACATTAAGATATGTAATTTTTAACATACTCTTCAGTGTGATACTTTCAAAATTAAATTTTTAACTGTGAAGAACAATAAAAATACCGAGAGAGTTTCAAATAACAGAAATCACTTTAGGTTTTCAGCAGTGCTCAAGTAAGCTTAAACATCCAGCAAGTTTCTTTTTGTTTTGTTATTAGTGAAAAAAAACTTATTATAGATGCAAATTTTACACAACCAAATACAATTATAAAATATAATGTAAGTTTTTAACATTGCTTGTAGTATCTTCCAGTCCTTGCCTTGGTGGTATTACTGTGAAAGCATAAGCATGCTATCTATACTTGCCTTATTAAACTAATGCTATGCAAGTATTTTATTTTTTAGTTTTTATATCTAGAAGAAAACAAATAATGCAACAGATTTCTGTCTCATTAATATATTCTCAAGAAATCTTTAAAAAGAGAAACTCTTTTCCTTTCTACTTACATACAAGCCAACAGCTTGTTAAAAGAGCCTGAAAATAGATCTGTTTCTCATAAACACTAGAAAAACAGTCAGCAGAACTGTTGATATACACTAATAGGACTACTTACACTCTGTAGGCATGGTAATGATTGTTTCTGTTGTAGCGTGATAATCGTCATCTTCCAAAGAACCATCACTGCTGTCATCCCTCTGGACATCATACTGATCAATCAGTTCCCGGAGTGGAGGAGCTTTGGGTAAAAGTTGTCTTATAGCATCTTTGCTGATGTTGGGAGCTGTTTCCAGACGAAGTTTACTGAGGATTTGAATTTTTATGGCTTCTATTCTTGAAGATTTAGTGTTTTGTCTCCAAGTACATGTATTACACAGCCCCTCTTTTTCCACATTTTCGTTGTGCTCACTGTTCTCATTTAGATCCACTGAACCAGCAACAATCAGCATGAACAGGTAAATATAAACATAGAGTTGCAGTTTTTGCATGATTTTAAAATCCATATAATCTTTTTTTCTTATTCTTATTTCTTCCTTTTACTTTTCTTTTGCTTTTGAATAATGGCAAGCACAGTTTTAATGCATGTACAGTCTGAGAGACAACTTGCTATACCAGTGAATCTTTTATACTGTATTCCAAGTGGCTTTTTATATTCCAACTTAGATGAGACAAGTGTCGTCAGGATCTATGATTGGCTCTTGCTTCACAATGAATCTCGCTGTCAGAGGTTAAAACCCTGTCTGTCACAAGTCACCAAGCAGTATTTTGTTACAGTCAAGGGTGAGCTGATTCATTTGACTACTTCATAAAAGAAATAAATCTACAAATAATAAAAGATATTTGTGACATTTGAAAACTAAAAGTCTATGTTGGCAATAATATAAACTGTACTTAAATCTTATTAATCCTTATACAGCTCTTATTGTAATTTAAATAAGTCAACTTTAATTTGCACTACATATTTAAAATATGAAATATTACTTCCTCAAAAACTAAAATGATTTTATATTGTTTAGGCAAGCATTTGAAGTAAAAATATTTTTATTTGTTGTATTAAATTATTTTTAGTGCTAAGTAATTAGGAAAATAAAAATTAGGAAGATCTAAATTAAAAGTTAAGATTGTGATGCCAGTAGAGAATTTTCATTTATAATTTGAGAAACTTGTTTTCTGATTAAATTATTAGTACATATTGAAAGTCATTCTTATTATGTCATTTTGTGCATGGAATTATTTTTACACAGTTTAATGCCTTTTATTATTTTGAAAATTATGCTGAACTTTTGACTGGCTGGATTATTTCCTATTCTAAAGATGCAGATTAATATAACTCAGAAGATATGTTTCTTCATTGTTTATTACCAAGAGGGTAATATCGGCTAGTAGAAAAATCTCTGAACATAGAATAAGATAATGAATTTTATAACTGGCATTGCAGAGCTTATTACAGTTTCCTCAGATTTCCAGCAGTAAATATCCAGAGAGTAAAAAGTGTAGTATTTATTGTCTATAAGTTACATCAGAATATTGTGAGCACATAAAAAGAAAGAGCATCATGATAAAGGGGTGACCTTTTGTGGTTTCCCAATACTGTGATATGTTTGTACCCCTTTGCCAATTTCTCATTTTGACCAGAGGGCAGACACCTGGCAGGGATTTGGGGTAAAGTCTGGGAGCAGAGAATAGAGCTTTTTGTTCTCTAAATTTAAGTGGCCTCTGTAGGGATCAAACGTTCAACCTTAGCTTTGGGAGCCACAAGATGTAGTCAAATGGACTATTAAAGAGCTAAGCAAACAGAGCCAGCAAGAAACAGAGATATTTCCAGGCCAAAGGAGATTTCTTTTTCCTACTCCTTTTTGGGACACTAAGGATTCCTAAGAGATTTAATCCATTACTTTTTTTTTTTCCTAAGAGAATGCAGTGGCTCATATCAAATATTTATTTTTAAAGTCACTACCATTTTTGCACACTGTACACTAATTTACTGCCTCGGTGCACTAAAATGCAACTCAGTAGCCTGAAAAGTTAATGCATTTTCATCAAATTCTTAAGAGGTATCTACATCTCTTGAGATAAAATGGCCTTACATAATGCATTGGATTTGCCCATCATTAAAGATTAAGGAAAACCAGACACAAACCAGATGCCCTGAGGATTTCAGATACTCTTTGTTATGAGACAATATTAGATCTGGCTTCTAAGGTTTTATTTGTTTGGTTAATTCATTTTTCAATGTATAAATCTTTGAAATGTTATGATCATTGTAACATATGCATCTATACAATTCCAAGTAAGTCAAACTTTTTAAAAAATAAGGTTCGAATTGCATGGCAGTTGAGTTGAGAACTCAGTTTCTGGAGTCAGATAGACCTGAGTTCAAATCTCAACTTTGCCACTGCTAACTATGTGATAATGGATGAGATACTTAACTTTCCTAAACTTTAGTTTCCTCATAGGGTTTTGGGGGGATATAATTTAATAATGCATGTAAATTGCTGAGTATATCACCTGTCATAAAGTAATTGGTAACTGGCACTTGAGCGCTTGCTCTTTGTTTTATGCAGAGGGGTTTGAGATTATGCTTAAAATTATCTCTGCATGAACTAGAACTGCTTCAGATCATAGCTGCCAATTATCAGTCACAAAGTCTACCTTTCTAGCACTGTGAGGCAAGTAAAATTTTCTAAGGCAGCCAGATTACAAGACATGTTCCAGCTCTTTATTCTTCTTACCGGGAAAAAAGTGAACAAAGGTTGTCATTTCCACCTGCAGACAATTCTTATTATTCATGATTTCTGTAATCACAAATTTGCCTACTTGCTAAAATTTATTTATGAAACTCAATACTCCTGGCATTTTACAGTCATTCACTGGCATTCACAGAGTGGCAAAAAATGTGGGGCCTATCTGATGCACAGGTTCCCAGATGAGATCAAACAAGACAGGGTTCTGCCTTAATGTTTCAGCTCTCATACTATAAACACATTCCCTTTTTGCAGTCTATTTAGTTTTTATGCTTTTTAAAATTGTTCCTGTTATTGATTTTGCTTTTAAAAACTTGTCCCCAAGCATAGTGCTGAAGTGCTGTGTGGTGTTCCTATGTTCCTAACCACAACAAAGCTGTGATGGAAAGTAGCATAGTGGTTGCCAGGGGCTGGGTGGGGCACTGAGGGGAAGTTACTGTGTGATAGATACAGAGTTTCAGCCTGGGAAGATGAAAAATTTCTGATGATGAATGGTGGTGTTGGCTATACAACAGTGTGGATGTGCTTAATGCCACAGAACTGTACATCTAAAAATGGTTAAGATGCTAAATGTTATGTATGTTTACCACAATTTTAAAAGGCTGTGATATGCCCAAGGGAAAAAAATTCTTACAAAAAAATACATGTGCTGGATAAGCATCATTAGGGCATGATTTATAGTCCTGTTGCCTGTGAGTTCACTGTTATTGAATGAACAATATATACTACATAATGTGTGTGTAAACAAAAACACACCTAAAATAAGGTTATATATTGATTGGTTGATGAAAATTTTATGACCAGAGGTTCACCTAACCCTGTTTTTCAACTGGGAACAATAGTTCAGTATTTCCTAATTCAGTTTTGGCAATGACTTTATAGGACACAACTACTATGAATAGGGAGAATCGACTATATCTAATCAACTTCTCTAGAGAACAGAATGGGTTAAGAAGTACTGAAGAAATTTAAATAAGTTTTATTCCTTCTCCAGTGGCAGTAATTGCAAGCAACCCAAGGCCCCAGAGTAGAAGGGCTTATCAGCCATAGGAACCTTCAATGCAGTCTGACTGCTGGAGGCCCAGTTTTGGCTGCTCTTGTCATAAAGGAGACGGGACAGTTGTGCATCATTAGGATGAGTGATTAGAGAACAATTCCTTCTAGTTGACTGGGAGAGCTTTGTCTGTTGGCTTGTTGATTTTGTCTTAAGTTAGCCATCTCTAAAAGCAGTTTCTCACAGGAGTTGGAATTTAGGTGGCCAGGGCAGTATCTCACAAGACTGATATGGTTCGTCTTTGTACTAGGTAAGCTATTACATTTTCTGTAACCATCAGTAAGGTGACAACCAAAACTCTCTCATCTCTGTTACAAATACCCACTGGTTGTCTCAATGTTGATTGTATAAAGAATATTTTCAAAAATTTTACAGTTTTATTTTCCCGGAGTGTGAGATCTACTGAGTGTACTAATGTAAAGACGTGCTGGAAGTTTAATGATCGTGGCCAAAAAAGGAGGAGAATGAGATTAGGAATTAGCACAAGAATGAATCATGAAAAATTCAACAGTTTTGGGCAAAAACTCAGGAAATTTTATCTGATATCTCTTGCCATTAACTTGTAATTACAGCTCTTTGGTATTACTCTATGCTGATTATTCTTAAAGCCAGAAACAATCTGCATAGTGCTCAACTCACATAACATCATGAATAGATAATCATCCCACATCGATGATAACTGATTACCTATGCTTTCAATAGTTAGAAGACAAAAATTAACAAAAACAAAAATATTCTTGAGCTAGGAAGCATGAGTATAGGAATTGAAGACAGGAGACCCGAAATATAATTCTGGCTTTACTGCTGATGTTTTATGTAACCTTGAATAAGTCAGTTAGCAAACGCTTCATTTATAAATGTATGTATGTATGTGTCTATATATATATATGAATTCATGTATTTATGAAATATTTGAATGCCTATATTGTACCCAGCGCTATGCTATATTCTGAGGATAAAACAGTGAGCCAGACAGACACAATCAGTGTCTTTATGAAACCTATGGACTAGTTTCTTCATGTAAAATATGAACACATTTGATTAGATGTGCCCTTTCCATTAAGGTCTATCCCCTAACGCAGTGATTCTCAGGCACATTCAAGCATACATTCTATTTGCCAACAGAGTGATGATATCTTCATACATTATGGGGCTTCTGGAAAACTATTGTACACATAAGAACGAATGAGCATCAGAAAGGCAAAAACATCTTAGTGTTATTATGAAAACAGTTTTTACTTTACAGACTCTCTGGAAAGGACTTGGGAAACACCCCAGTGATCCCCAGACCACACTTAGAGAACCATACACCCAAAGTAGTAATTTTTACACTATTTCAATTGAGTACTTCCCCCTTTAACTTCCAGTCCCCTCCTCCCAATACCTGTAGCTTTGCTCTTAATGAGGCATCAAATAAAGTAATTTTAAAACATTGTTTAACAGTACATATTTATTGCAAAAAGCAGAAATATAAATATTATTATAATCACTGACTACAAACTCGTAGGCAATCTAGCACATTTGCAAAACATTTGTCAGTTCTAGGGAATAGACTGAAATTAGTAGTCTTAAGGGATTTCTTGTAGATGGTCTTCAGATCGGTCTTGAGGTGTTAGTATTCATACTGTGGTAATCCTCATAATAACTTCCTAGTTAATAAAGTTGCTGCAATCCATTGTCCTTTAGAGGTAGAATTAACTCAGAAAAGCTTCAAAATTCTATTTCTCCTCTTCCTCCCTCCCAAAATGGGAGCTCTACTCTATTTATGATAGGCTTAAAATTTATTGTAGGAAATAAAAATGAAGTTACAATTTGGCTTCCTCATTTTTTCTATT